CTGCATGACATCTGCCTAGCTGGGTTCTTGGCTGTGTTTTGAGGTTCACTGCCAGCTGAAGGGGGTAGATGCGGCCATGGGCCCGAGTATAGCTCTGCTCTGTTGTACATGGCATTTTGGTGAACTAAATCAAGATGACTTAGCTCTCAGCTGGAGAGGTCTGTGGTAAGCAGTTATTTTGCCTGGTTCATGTCAATGCCTAAACACAAGAAGTTGGACACCAACTCTACTCTGCCATATACATTTTTTTTTCTTTGCAGAGCTGTGTTCTCCCCATTTGGCAGCAGGGACTTTGACACCTTCCATTGAAATGTCTGCTGTCTCCTGCCTTCATCTATTTGCAGCAAGCAGTCGTTTTGAAACTTGTCTTGTCTTCTAGTATGGCAAATTGCCTACTTGCTCCGAATAGCTACACTGAGGGCAGATCTAATTCTCACTGAAAATAGCAGTGAACATTTTTGAGATGCTCTTATAACTTCATTCCAAAGCTTTTAAGCCTGGAAGGTTAACAGTAAAACTGACAGTAGCATGGGAGCAGAACAGAGCATCATGGGGATGAGCTTATGGTTATAAAGCACAGCAGAACTGCAGCAAGCCTGAGCTGTTGATATGATAGACAAAAACACTTTCAGTGCTTACATTTTTACTTTTTACTTAAACCTGTAAGAGTTCAAAGGTTTTGAAGTAGCTAATTCCCTAGAATATCTTCTCATTTATGGCTGGTTGTGTCTCATCAAGCTGCCCAGGGCATTAATCCATTAATTTAACAGGGTAAACTTTTCTGTATCTGTCCTGCTGAGGGAAAGTGCCTGCATTGTCTTGTGCATGAAGATGCTTTTCATTTAAAAAAAAAAAGGGCATAATTGTACCTCCTGACTGTAGGGCAAGGTGCTACTCTGCAGTTCTAGACAAGGCTAGTGCCAGGAACAGTGGAGCCAGCTGTGGGCAGGAATTGTTGCCTTGCCCTGATAAGGAGCCATGCTGCACACAAATTTTGACATATGGTGCTCGGTATCTGATCTGCTCTCACTCTAATCGACCCCTTTGTTCCAATCTTTGTCTTCCCCCTTACTCTTCTTTATTCTGGCCATTGTCCTTCATCTAGTGTTAGTAGTCTGGCTGGGAAAAGTCATAACTAATGCAAGTGATGAGTGGTGCTTGTGTTCAGGAAAGGCTGCTTTCTCTTTGGAGCAAGCAGTGAGGCTGTATCCTGTCACATGTGCTGCAGCAGTCCCCGTTGTCTTTTACTGTGGTGACTCCCTTTCTGGTGCAGCAACCTTCAGAGAAATACGATGAAGCTTATGTTGGCAAGAGGCAAAAAGTCACAATGAGTGAGGCATTGTTTTTCTAACGAAGAGCGCAGAATTGTATTCTCTCCTCTTGAGCATTTTGTGTTCAAAGCAGTCTGCACCAATACTCTTGAAGTCTGGTGGTCTGCTTTTGTTTTTGTTCTCGCTTCCTATGTAGTGTTTTCACATGTACTGTACAGCTCTCAGGAATTCTCTGCCTCACCTCCTGCTGCCAATGTTTTGTTCCATTATCCTAATCGAAATTCCAACAGCTGAATTTGCCTGTACACTTCCAAGTGTGCTTTAGCCAGTGCCTTGTTGACAGTCTCGGTCCATCTGCCACAGGCCTCAGGAACGACAGGTAGTTCATCTGGTTCTTTCTGTAGAACACCACATGATTCAGTTCTGTCTCGGTAGCCTGATGGTCTTTATTGCAGCCTGAACAAATGACTTACCCTGAAACTTTTTAAAAATAATTGCTTCTGGTTGGTATTAAAGTGCCCTTCTCAGGGAAGGGAAGACACCTGTTAGAGTGACTTCACAAATCTCTTCATAAGAGTTGGTGTCAGCTTTGAGGTGTAAAACTGAGAACTTGAGTACACAGGCATGAGAAGTTAAAGATGGGACAGTGGGATGACTCGGACAAACTGCTGTTAAACCCTTGAATAACTACACGCAATGCATGCGCTGAGTTGAAAAAGTAGGTCAAGGAACTTACTAGGTGTAGTTTGTAAGATTTGTTGCGATGTTGTGACAAAGTCTCTGGAAGACAGTTACAACAGTATACTTGAACTTGTACACCAGCAGCTCAGCTCATGTCTATATTGGCTTGTTCTTGGGATCCCTTGGTTTAAGATATTGCTGTTCCTTAGGCTTACAGAATAAGTGAGCCTTAGAGGCTGGGAGTGCCTGTGTATTATGGAAATAACTTGGGCCCAAGTACCTGAGCCATGGGGCAGACGAACTAGATGTGTTGGGGGAAGGTGATGCACAGGCATCCAGTGACTTTGCCATCACTCAATTGATTTTGCTGTTACTTGCTTATTTTCAGCTGTTCACTAGCTGGCTTACCTAATTCAAGATTTGTTTTGATGTTGTGCATGGTACTTATTTAACTTGCAGGATGTCTCGGTTATCTTACCAGCTGATAATGTGATTGGAACTTATTTAATTGGCAGTTGTTTAATGAACCATGGTCCCTGAATAACTTCAAATGGCTATACTGCTGCCTAGTAAAGTGCATTGGGATGTGACTTCTGAAGAACATCAGGCATTTCCTGTTCCATACGGGGGGGGTTTTTAAGGGGGGGGTAAGGAAAGGAAAAATAGTCTTGTCTCTTTACTTAAGAACTGCCAGATTTGAGCTCACTGTTCGCTCACTGTTCCAATGGCATACCCTGGACTAGTAGTAAAAACCTGTCGGGAAGCTGATGAATGGATCCCTAACATACAGCATACATGAGCCTTCCCTGTCACCTTCTAGCTGAAGCCTTGCTGCTTATGTCCAGTAACCTTATTTTTAAACCAGCTCTGATTCATGCTCTATTTTCCATGCCAGATGAGGTCCTTGGTTGTGAGTAAGTAAGTGTTGTGACTGTAGCTGGCAGGAGCCCCGGGTGATTGCCTCACTTCAGGAAATGTTAAAATAACACTTTTTTTTCTTAGAAAGCTAGTTCGCTCTCCTCCCACTTCTAATTCTCCTAATAGCTGCCCCCAGTTTGGCAACTCTTACAGAGGGTTGTTTGTGTTGCTGAGTGAGAGCAGAGACACTTTGGTGGGGGCAGTGCTGGAGGAGAGGTATGCAAAGTGAGCTAGTATCTCTAGCCAGACTAGCTTAAACTTTTTAGAGGTTTTTCAGAAATTTGGAAGGAAAACTGCGAAATTGTGAGAAGAATCTTGCTTTCACCCCTGGACTCTGAAGCTTTGGATTTTTTCCTCTTGGAAAAGAGAACCTGCCCCAGCTGAAGCTGCTCATTTGAGATCAACCATACAGCAGGTTTATCTGCTCTCTTGACTATAGTAATTCAGTGGGGCCAATAGTACCAATAGTGGCTGGGATGGGTGTCCCCCGAGGCTGGACCCAGCGGGTTTTGTCTGCTGTTTCGGACTTGCAGTCGCTCCAAGGTACTTAGTTCTCCAACCCCACTAAAGCTGTGCTATCTCCTCAGACCTGTATCAATGGCTGCTAGCTGCTTTGGCAGCTGATCTGTGGAAGGTTTGTAACTCTCCAGATGGAGAAGCTTTCATTTTTATTGCCTGGCTTCTAACTTGTATGATCACTGCTGTGGGGAGATGGTTTGTGTTCAATGCTTTATTTCTCTTTTGGAACTGTTTGTGCTAAAGGAAGAAAATGACTTATGGCTGTATAACAACAGGCGATACTTGTGTGTGTGTCTGCAGTATGTAGCCTTTACTCGAGGGGATGCTTACATCCTAGAAGTTCCACAAGAACTTCATTTATAACTGCCAGCCAAAAAATGGAAGGCTGGAATTTTAGTTGTCCTCACCTACTGTCAGATCTGGGAGCACTGCAGAGGAAGCACTGGAATACCAGCTAGGAGAAAACAAAATACTAATCTAGTGTGTTACAAGAATAAGCTGTTTTGGACCCTGGAAAAACATTGCCAGTACTAGGCCTGTTTGCAGCACCTGTTCTACTTGCCAGTCTGATCTCTTGAGCTAGAACACAAATGTATCCCTCCTGAAATGCAGCCTGCTTTCCCTTCCCTATAGTGGAAGCTATACTTAGGAATGTTTTGCATTCTGAAGGCTAGTTCCAACCTCTGTAGAGCAGCAGAGGAA